AAGGGGGGGGGGGTTCGAAATTGTTATAAACTATTGAAAACATACAAATGCTTAAAGACGTACGAACAATAACAATAAAACTTCTAGCAATGAACATCGTTTCAAATTGCCTATTAGATTGTGTATCCTTGACTTTTCAAACATTTTTTAACTCATTACATACTGGTCATAATTGTTGATATACTCGAACACTTTCTTTGTCTTTGTAATTAGATTAGCATGTGAAACTCTATGAACTAGTCTCTAATAAGTTAAACCAGTTCTAGTTACGAAATCAAACTAGCAATTGCATTAATGATGTGACAAGTGGGTAACGCCGAATATTATACCGAATCCATAAATTTGTGTAAATTTGATGGCAATGATAAATCTACTCCAATAGTAACACCAAAATGTAAATATATAGGTACATTATTTTTCTTTTAACATTTTTTCTATCGGTATAAGGTTTGGTGCAAATGAATAGTGTTACTCCAAATTTGGTATGTTACTATTAATTATACCAAATTTGGTGTAAGGCTTGGTGTCAAATTTGGTATTTGGTGTCTTAATTGGAGATGGTCTTACAAATGATCAACGCCCAACCATTTAAGCTAGATTATACAAACCCGTAATACAAATCAAATAATCTGATGATTAATCGAAGTATTACCTGCTACTTAACAAACCAAAACCAACTATAGATTCCTAATTTCGACTAGCGATCTAAAATTAGGTAAAACAACTAAACTGATCCAATTCAAGTCAAATAACCAAAACCCCATAATAAGATCAACAAATCTAATGAATGATCAAAGTATTACCTGCTATTTTAACAAAATCAAAAACAATTACAGATTCTTAATGTCGACTAACAATCCAAAAATTAGGTTAAACAACTTAATTCATCCTATTCAAGTCAAATAAGCCAACCGTGCTAAAGCAATTAAGCAATCTTTGTATAAATGGAATTCAATTGAAATTAAAGACACAACCAAGTCTCAATACAATCTAAAACATGTTTACAATTTTTTATGTGTCAATCAAATATTATTAAAATAGACTTAATAAACAGTTATTAAACATCATACCTAAACTTTTTTTTACACAAAAAGTACTAAACAATATCCCAAATTAGTTACTAAACATTAGTAAATAGTTATCAAACATTAAATTAAATTGAAGGTAAGAAGTTCAAACGAGGAGAGGACGGTATTATTTTATAAGAAAACAAGAGTATCTTAACTAGACAACCATCACATGTGATACTATATGGGGATGAAATAGTGTGCGGGTCACTTGGCCCAAGACTTGGGATGTAGCCAAAGCCGCTCGCTTGTGTCTATCACCAATTTATCACATGTGATGGTTGGTTTCTTTAAGATATTCTCATATCGTACCCGTTTGAAACATTTCGTTAAATTAAAATGTTAAGTTTCAAACAAAGTGTCACGCAAAATACTAAACATAGGCATATGACGTTTAGCTTAGTTGACAAATAAGTGAGATGATTTTTCTCAAATACAAGACATATCTTTGGTTAGATCCCAGACCCTCCTTAGCCTCAGCCACTGAGTGAGTTAAAAAATGTCTCCTCATATTGACGTCCTTGGAGGCAAGTTCCGTATCAGATAAAATTGGGGTCGCCAGTAATCAAATTTGTGCCCAAAAATACTATACATATTCCATCTTAATTAATTATAGATAAGTCCATTACAACCAACAAGTCTAGACCTTAAAATAGAAAAGGTGTTGATCTAAAATGGTAATTGGGTCCGGTCTAGAAATTGGGTATATGAATGATCAACTCGTGGGCTTGAACCCAAATAACCCTTGATTTTTTATTATTATTATTATACTAAAATCACTTTATTCAACTTATATCTTATGTATTATAAATGTAATATATACATATAGACTCGAAAAACTGGGATCAGGTAAGAACTTTAATCTCTCGTGAGAACCTCTGAGAAATCGTTGCATGGTTTTTTTTGTTTGATCGGAAGGCTCACAAAAATGCAGTGACATTCATGTAACTAAGTGGAACTTTGGTGACATGGATGTACTTGACATGAACCTTAACGTAAGTCTGTATGAAAACTTACATACGTCAAATAACTTAATAGATCTTTACATATCTTATCATATTTCACAAAGTGATTTTTACGAGATATGTTTGCATATGTTTTTGATAACTTCGTTATCTAACAGAGTTTTATCATCTGAATCATCAGCTTTATAGTTTGTGCTGGAGTGAAGAGTGCTATACTAGATTGATATTTTGTACAAATGATTTGTAGGCATTCAAATGAATAAAAGATTGTCAACTTATACTCCATTTTAACATCCCAAGTGAAGAATGTGTTGAATTGACTAAAACAGATAAAGAAAATCGAATCCAGAATCCACGTCGTATGGTAGCTAGGCTCGTGGGTGGGGATCACCAAAAATGTACTAAAGCTTCAAATCTTCATGCTATCGTGCGATTATTGTTGCTACTGTGACAAATGAAAAGAGTCTGAACGATAGTGCAATGAGATAGTGACACACAATTGTGGACACAATAGCAAAACGATGTCCAAGGCATAAAAACTGTAGAATTTTTAAGATTTAGGGTTATGCGTGATTTTTTGCATGTTGAATTTTAGAAGGTACTTCAAGGGTTTGAAGCAAAGAGGAGTTGCATAATCAATTTCTTTAATTACCACCTCTGATTGAAACATACTCGGCACGTTTAGTTTTTAATCTCAATAATAAAAGATGTACGATAAGCAACAAAAATAACAAATTACGTTGTAAAAGTCGTATATTATATGATAAAGATAATATATTGACCAAATAGAGCCTAATATATATCAACTACTCCACAACATTTACCAACTCCATCTACAATATTATTGTATTTTACCATAATTTCTATAAACCCCAATTAATTTATTTATGTGTTACTTTTTCTTTTTCCCCCAAAAAAAAAAAGAATTAATTCCAAATTTGTTCATCACATTCTGCACACCCTTCTTGAGCAATATCATCAATTTGTACCCCAGAATCATACACCCCTCCAATTTTCCAATCGGCCGGCAACACACTCTTGGCCCAAATCCACTTTCCGTCGTAGCCGGCGGTCACCACCAGCCGGAGTTGCAGGGCACCCGCCGGAACTCGACTGGTGTCCCAAACAGCCCCATGATTTCTGCTCATAAAACCCCAGTTTGATGAACCAACCTACAAAATGAAAGAAATCCAACCACAAATTAGAAGAAAGTACAAGTGTATTGCACAATGCTACAAGTTGGATTGCAGAGTTTTTAGGGAAATTTACATAAATAGCCAAAGTTGCCAGGTGGTTTCACTTTTTAGCCGTAATCTGACCCATATTCATTTTTTTGTCCATTCTTACACAAAAAGCTTACGCAAATATATATATATATATATATATATATATGGACTGGTTTTTGGGAAAAAAGAATCCTTAAGCATATGTGTATGGTTTTTGAAGCCTAATGCATATGCATAAAGTTTTTGCATAAGAATTCCACTATATACCATATTATAGTGTAATTTTTATGCAGAAATCTTGCGTAAAGTTTTTTGCGTAACGATTCTCTATTTTTTTTTTGTCGAAAACCAATCCTTACGCATAAAGCCTTTAAGTGTAAGGATCGACTAACAAATTAATTTGGATCAGAAAATGGACAAAAAAATGAAATCTGATCAGTTATTTTTGTCAATCTCTTGGGTTTTTAAGTACCTGAGCGATGTCGACGCCTACGATTTCAGTTTGACCACCTTGGTATAGAAATTTGAGAGCAAGATAATTAGGTTTTTGAGATGATTCTTCAACTCTCACAGCCAAGTTCTTGCCTTTATAATCACATGGTATTCTGTTTAAAACGAGACAAATAGAGGTCAAACTCATACTCTTTTTTTTTTTTTTTAACGTGAAATGTCTAAAATACCTTTAACGAAATAACTAAAATACCCTTTTTACCTTTTATATTCCACGTCGGCAACACCAAGTTTCAACAAGTTTTGGCCCAAGCCCTTATTAGCCATGGCCATGAAGGCTCTGCTACTCAACACAAAATCTGTTTCATTGCTTTGATTCAGATCAGTTACTATCACTCGAGTCCCTTTTTGGCTACACAACTTAGAGTCTTTGCATCTAACCTGCAAAAATTACATCCATACCCTCATTCAAGACATAATTTCACAACACAATATGATAAAGAGTAAGACTCTGACCAAGAATGTGAAGTACATGAATTCCAACCTGGAAACAAGCCCCACAACCCGACCCGGATTTGTAGATGGTAGGAACAGCTGCAGCAAGATGACTACCATAGAAGCTTGTAGCTAAGGACCCATACCCACATGCTCCAGCTGCATTATTTTCAAAAATTAATCAATACCCATAAAATTACTTCAAGAAATCGATATTTTCAATTGAAAAATCCAATTGGGGTCGTAACCAAATGGGTTGAAGCTGCAAATCTTGCAAAAATCCCACGACTTTTTTCTCAAGAAACGTCATCTGGGGTGAATGATTAAAAAGTAAAGAAAACGAGTGAATTGATCTCAGGAACCCTTACAAGAAAGAGAAGAAGCTTTGGAGAAGAAAGCAGCTTTGGTTTGATGAAGACATCGATCACATGCATTTGTGGAAGAGATGGAGATGGAGATGGAGATGGAGAGAAAGAAGACGATGCAGAAATAAGAGAATCCCATTTTGTTGTTGGTTCAGGTTTTGTGAATTATATGCGTATTTATATTTGTTCTCGGAGACGCGCACAGGGAAGGAAAATGGATTACACTTCAACACGCTCTTCATCATCAACGCTTCTTTATGGGATAAAATGATTTATAACATCCGAATAATAAATTTTCGATTTTTCTGTTCCAAAATAAATAGGAAAAATTGTATTAAAATGAAATCAACATTCACATAATTTTTATTATGGGAAACCAACTTTCAAAATCGTCATTTTGGGAAACCAATTTGCACCTGATTCCTATTTTAGGGAACCAACTTGCAAAATAATTATAGAAAAATAACTAAAATTCGTTTTTTTTTTCCAAAAATTAATGCAATAAAATCTATTTTTCATTTTAAATCTCGTTTTTTTAATTCAGATATCAAATTGAACATTTTTAAAAAAAATTCCAAATTACCACAATAAAAATTGTTTTTTACTAATGTAAAAAAAAACCATTTTAATAGAAAAAAATTAATTGATGTAATAAAAAATAAATATTAAATATCACATTTAAGATTTTTATATATAACCAATTGCATCAATTAATTTTTTTCTATTAAATTGATTTTTTTTGCATTAGTAAAAAACAATTTTTATTGTGGTAATTTGGATTTTTTTTAAAATGTTCAATTTGATATCTGAATTAAAAAAAACGAGATTTGAAATGAAAAATAGATTTTTTTGCATTAATGTTTGGAAAAAAAACAAATTTTAGTTATTTTTCCATAATTATTTTGCAAGTTGGTTCCCCAAAATAGGAATCAGATGCAAGTTGGTTTTCCAAAATGACGATTTTGAAAGTTGGTTCCCCAAAATAGGAATCAGGTGAAAGTTGGCTCCCCAAAATGACGATTTTGAAAGTTGGTTCCCCAAAATAGGAATCAGGTGCAAGTTGGTTTCCCAAAATAGAAATTAGGTGAAAGTTGGTTCCATTTTAATACAATTTTCTCTTTTAGAAATATGTGATTATTATATTTTTTTTACAACAAAAGGCAATTTTACGTTTAATTATAAGAATAATTATCTCATCATCAAGAGTAGGTAGACGTTTACATTCAAGGGTGGAGACTGGAGACATATTTTCAAACAAACTAAAATAGAAAAATAGACACTTAATTTGAAACTAAGGGAGTAATTTTGTAATTAGTGTAATAAACATTCAATTTTACACTCGTTTTTATCTAATAGAAGAATTTTCAACCTACATCGCATCAGGTGATTTAGATGTGATCAAGTTTGGTAACTGTAGTTCGATGACATATAGAGATTAACAGTCATGCAAACCTTTTAGTGGTACGAGGGGTTTTGACCCAATGACATCGTGACAAACTCAAGATCTTACCAGTTGAGCTATCTTTTAGCGTTAAAGTAATCAATATTACACTGTAACTTAAATTTTTATCCGTATTATCAGTCTTTTACTAAATCAAAATTAGGTTTTGTTTTGAGCATTCATTAATTATTGTAATTATGACCCTTTATAAAGCAATACACAATTTCATTCGGGTCTCTATCGTTTATATGTCTACATGGAATGTAGATTGAGACTAATGCGTTAAATTAAGTGATCCAAACCATTTTGGATCTTTAAGAAATCACGTTTTCAGAGATCACACATTAATATCGTAATTCTATAACACGTTACGTAAACGATTCATTTACTCATCGACTTCTTTTATAATCGTAAAGTTCCGTCAAGAAATATTTTATATTCAACTTTTGTTGGTAACTTTAAGTCGATAAAAAGAACGTATCTTAAAAAAACGATATTAAAAAGAACAGTATCTGTAATTTAAAGACACGGTTTAAAAAAAGTTTTAACGGTTTAATAAATACCGTGGAATACGAGGTTTCATTTGTATTGGATCTAAAAACATTTTACGATGGACGTGATTTTATATATAAATAATTCATTGACGTCAAATGATTTGATTTTTATAATCAAAAGAAAATTTTGAAAAATATTATTTCTTCTATTAATCCATCAACGGAACCTTTTATTAGAAGGGTATTCATATAATACAGTAACATACATCTCGATTTTAATGTTTTTTTTATCTCAGTTGATGTTATAATACAGTTTTATGTGATTTTGAGAAAATGATAACGTTTTCATTATCGAATAAAATATAAATATGAAGATATCATAAAAATTGAAAGTAAAATATTGATACTAGTACCAAACTAACTATTTAAAGTTTCTTGTTTTTTTTGTGTATTCTCTAATTCATTTCTTATTTTTGATTTAATAATATAAATTTTTATTAGAATAATAATAAGTAATTTGTTACAAGTCAATGATTATTCTGATTATATTTTGGATTTTTTATATTTAAAATAAGATATTTATCATTTATTTAATTATATTTATCAACAGTTACTTATATGAATTCAAACATAAAGCTTTAGTAATTTGTACTTATACACAATTTACTTATAATCTTGAATTTTAAATAATATGTAAAAAAATAATTTTTAATAGTTTTAATCAAATATATTTTATTACTATTTTATAAAAAAAGTAATTAAAAGAATGAAATTTTATTTTATAATGGGCAGAAAAAAGAGGCACTTGGGAGTATTACGAGGAGTGGAGACAATGGAAAACAATTGATGATGGTCTTCTTCGCTTTCACCGACTCTTTTATTATTTTTATTATTATTAAATTAAATCCATTTTTTTTAATATCAATCTATTGATTTATATTTAAATCTTTTGTAACAATTTATTTTTCTTCATAAAAATAGGTCTCAAAAAATAAAACTGAAATTCATTAAACCAATATCATGTTCACAAAATGGTATTTTCAGTCCAAAAAAAAACAAAAAAAAACTCAAGATATAAAGAATGACGAAATTAGCCTTGGTTAATGATGAAGTTTTGGATTTGTTAATGCTTTAGGGTAAGGGTAGGGCTAGGCACAAAAGCAATGTGAAAGTTTGAAGTTTGGTGAGAGGGCAAAGACAGTTTGGAAGGAAGTCAAATTCCAAAATAAAACCAGCTATTTACAACTAAAATGGACCACAAAATCTCATGCCCATTCCAATACCAACTCATTTACAACTGTACCTTTGGATTACTATTAACCAAACCTCAAACACAACTTCATCCAACCATGGCTGAATATAATGTATGACTTATTCAATAAGCCATATATGGTTGTTTTGGAACTGGGAATGCCACGTATTTGAAGAACTATAAACACGTGCTTACAAAGAAGACCTTTATAAATGAAATCCAAATGTTTTAAGTTTGTTGAAATGATACTGTTAAATGAAACTACATACACGATGACGAAAATAAAATAAAAAAACAAGCAATAAAGAGATAAAATTGTCATTTCTGTCTTTTACATTTTTTATTCAGTACAACAGCCTAGTAACAAATTAGTTCAATCAATACAAACAGCTTAATCCATACATGAGATGTTTGCTTTCTTTTTCCCTTCACTTTGGTCATTTTGGGATATCAGTGGGTTTGAAGACGCAAAGAAAGAGGGTTGGATTGCTTCTAGGACATTTATGGTATTAGTTTGTTTGAGTTGACCGAATAAAGACTAGTAAAGGGTTCTGGCTTTTTTCATATAGCCATTTTTTGCTTAATGGCTTCACAATTAAACTATAAAGAAACACTCCTGTATCACTAGACAAATAAATCGTCCAAGACATTAAGCTCATTAAGCTATAAGTAAACGGTTCTTAATGAAATAATAATCGAACTTAATTTCATCCAAACTAAACCACTCAGTATATTCCACTAGAAATGGGCCCACATCAGATTGCAAAATTTAAAAACCCCAAATTGGCTTAAACAAGGATTCATATAACCCGAGTTATTTAATGTCTCTAATAATGGTTCTGATCTTAAAATCAAAACATTATGACAAGCATCTGATTCGAATCGAATCATATCCTGCACCATCTTTATGGCATATATAACAAACTATTTCAATTCAAATCAAATCGTATTTAAATCAACTTCATTTTTTGCAACACTTCAAGAATGTTTTCAAGATTTATATACAATAAATACTCACGTACATTCCTACTTTTTTGTTTTTGTAAGCTTTGAACCCTTTACCTTCAGAAGCTAGAATTTACAGGTAACCTACATACAGTTGGATCAATTACAATCTCATATCATTTCAAGAATTTTGGTGTACAATTAGCTTGCTTTTTCAGATAAAGCAGAAACAAGATCAGTCCGTGCTTTCTCGAGCGCGCTCGACAAATTCTCCGGCTTCCTTCCACCAGCCTGAGCGAAATTTGCGCGGCCGCCACCACCGCCGCCACACATTTTCGCTATCGGCCCTATGAACTTCCCCGCTTGTATTCCCATACTAACTACAGAAGGACTGAATGCAGCAACTAAACTCACTTTCTCTTCACCTGGACTCGAGCCCAAGATTATTGCCGATGGATCTCCTAAAGCGTCAACGAGATATTCGGCAGCGCTTTTGAGCGAATCTGCATCCGTATCATCCATGAATTCAACGAGCACCCTGAACAATAAGATTTTATTTTTAAAATCAACATCTTTGTTATTCAAAATTTTCATAATCCGGTTGACAAACCAGCTGATGAGTGCTACTACTAATACCAGTATTTGTTCCATTCATTCTTTGTCATTAAGGTTATGTTCGGGAAACTAGCTGATAAACTAGATAACAATATAAAATGACCTGAAATGACATGTTGAAAAATTACTCAATTCTCATATAATAAAATGAATAATTGGAATAAAAGGTGAAAAAAAAGCCACGGAGCTTATTGAAAAGCTATCTGAAATAGTTTTCCAAAAAGCTGGCTTATAAGCTAGTTTATAGCTTTACCGAACGGGGGGTTTTTATCAAGCTAAAAAAATAAGCTAACTTATCCTTAGTCGGCAACTATGTATCATCTTTTCCTTGGATCAAATTTCGTATAGCATAGATATAGAAACCTGATTTGTGTCGAGGTTCCAACATGAAACACGTTGTTTGCAATAACCGATGCTTTGTAAACTGCGGTTTTTGCGCGGGCGGCTGAAACTTCGTTTTTTGCCATTCGGAGTTCTTCCATAACTGCCGCCACCCTAGACGGTACTTCTTCAGCTTTTACCTGTACAGTGAAAGATCAAAAGTCTTGAATCAACATACATTTGTATAACATTTATGTATATTTTGCACGATTTTAGCTACGGAAATTACTTTAAGTGTGGAGCAAAGCTGCTTCATGTAGTTATCTCGGTCACTGACGTACTCGATAAAAGCATCACCGGCAACCGCTTCTATTCGTCGTATTCCTGAGGCAATTCCTTGCTCCGAGATTATCTTGAAGCCACGAATCTCTGAAGTATTGCTAACATGCGTGCCCCCACATAGTTCCATGGATACACCAGGTACGTTTACAACACGAACCTAAAACATCAGAAATTACAAAAAAAATTAGAATTAATATATGTTAGGTGTGGACGGTTTCTGGTCCTTATTAGTTCAATGGACTTATGAACACCCCTACATTCCTAAGAATAATATAAATTTCAACTTAGATGCTGTTTACCAAACTGACTGATAAGCTAGTGGTCGACTGAAAAGCTAGCTGTTAGCTGAAAAGCTAGTTGTGGATAATAAGCTAGCTGTTGGCTGAAAAGCTAGTTGTGGATAATAAGCTAGCTGCTGGCTGAAAAGTTAGTTGTGGATAATAAGCTAGCTGTTGGTTGAAAAGCCAGTTGTAAATAATAAACTAGCTGATAGGCCATCTTCGATAGATGTGCCAAAAAGTTAAACGTGTCATAATGTAAAAACAAGTAATCTCCAATCAATATGCTAAAGTGCTTGCTTCTTGGGTGCCAAAAAATTGGCCATGTTGAATTACAGTAGCACACTTTGGTAAACCTCATTTTATCTCAAATCAAATATTATTTTGACATATGTTTTGTTCTAATTGGTTGAAGATTTAATAATCTATTTTAAAACTAAATACTAAATTAACTGTGTCGTATAAATAAAAAGTATAAATTTAACTAATTTACTAACTAATTAATATACATAAAAAATTACTATAATTAAATAAAATATATAAATAAAAAGATAACTAATTTAGTTAAACTAAATAATATACAAAAAAATAATTATATTTAAATGATAAATTAATAAATATATGTCAAATATATAAAAGTGCTATAATTTAGCATCGACTAGTCGGAGACGATTATTGCTATTACGATGAATAGTGTAAATTTGAGTGCTAAAATTTAGCATGTTCGGTTGAAGATGGTCTTGGATGATAAACTAGTTGAGTTTGGTAAAAAAAATTTGTCGATAAGTTAGATGATAATGTAAAATGACCTAAAAAAAATAAAATATAATAGACATAATAGAAAAAATTGAAAAAAACCCAATCAACTATCGGAAGTAGTTTTTCAAAAAACCAGTTTATAAGCTAACTTGTGACTTTCCAAACAAGTTTTCTTTCAATAAGTTCAAAAATAAGCTATCAACATACCTCTTCGCCATATTTTTCTCCGAACATTGCTATAGCACCGGCATTTTTAGCGTCAGCAATTGGCATCACTTCAGTTTCAAGAGGCGTAGCTTCTCCTATCCATTCATTGACCAAACCTTCAATTTTCGTCAACTCGTGATCAACAAGTTGTCTATGGAAGTTGAAGTCAAATCTTAGCCGTTCAAATGCCACCAACGAACCAGCTTGTGACGTCTCTTCTCCTATAACTTTCTTAAGTGCAGCTTGTAGCAAATGGGTAGCGGTGTGATGGACCTGAAACGGTCACCATGAATTACGAATTGAAAAATGAGAATTTAAGGGTGCGTTTGGTAAGCGGACATGACTGAACAAGATTGGAAAGGCGAGAGTAAGGTACAAATGTGAAAGAATTGTGGAAGGTTTTAGGGTTATAATTTAACATGGGTAGTTTAATAATTTACCAATCTTATCTATCTCCCTAATTTTTTTTCCACCAAATTTGGTGTGGCAAAAATTCATTCCCATCCTATCCCAGTCTAATGTCACACCAATCGTGAAACAAGTCTTTGCTTTGCTGTGGTCCCACGGACATGGCTTAACAAAAACTTTTGTTCCACATTTGACGCGACATTAGACAAGGATAAGGCGGGGCTAATTTTTTTGTCACCAAAATTGGCGGAACCAAAATCAAAGAGATGAAATAAGATTGGTAAATGAATGAACTACCCAAATCAAATTAAAACCCTAAAACCTTCCACAATTCTTTCACTAGAGGGGACAGTACTGGACGGGAGTAGCGGTACCAATTGCATAAATAGGCATTTGGGAGTACCTTAGCCCGTTGCCTTAATTTCGCATCAACTGCAGCTTCGACTTCTCTACCGACTGTAATAGTTCCTTCTTTTATCATACCTTTGTGAACGTATATGTTGCCCAAGGATTTTTGGACATCGGCTATCTCTACAACAGCGGTCTTTCTGCTTTCCGTTTCAGTGACTTTTAGCAACCCTCGGTCTCCGATTTGACCACCCGATTCAGCATAAAAGGGAGTCCGGTCCAGTAAAACTTCAACTTCACTTCCTTTAGAAACCTCAACTACAGGCTTCCCACTCAATAGAAGACCCTTGATCACTGCTTTAGAATAAAGGGTGTCGTAACCGAGAAACTCGGTATCGGGAACGTTTTCAGTCAGCTCGGAGCCGTTTTCGACCATGAGCTTAACGGTATTATGGGCAGCTTGTGATTGACGCCTTTGAATTTCCATTTCGGCATCGAAATCACTCATGTCTATAGAAACACCACGTTCATCGGCTTCTTCCATGGTTATTTCTACGGGAAATCCGTATGTATCATATAAAAGGAAAGCAATTTTACCCGATAAACATGGGGCGGTTTTGTTTAGTTTCGCATTTTCTAAAGCTTCATCCAACATTTCATCAAGAAGCTTTTCTCCTCTTTCCAATGTTACCACAAAACGTAACTCTTCTCTTTTCAACTCTTCAAGAATACGAGCTTTTCTTGTTTTTACATCCGGATCAATTTCAGAACTCAAATCTATTACCTTTTCGGCAACAATTGGCAAAAATGCCCCTTCGATATTACCCTTTTCATCTCCTCTTATTCCGAGTAACCTTCCGGTACGTACAGCTCTCCGAATGAGCCGTCGCACCACATAACCACGACCGATATTTGATGGAAAAACACCATCTGATATTAGATAAACGATCGCCCTCATGTGATCACCGATAACCTGAAAAGTTACAATCTTTACTAAAATGTTTTCCATCGATGATCCTAAAGGAAAGACAATCTTGAATAGCATACTTTCAGTTTCGTTCTTGAAGAATCATCGGTAAGGGCATATGAGACATTTGCCAATTCCGACACCTTTTCTATAATCGGGAAAATCAAATCAGTTTCATAATTGTTGGGAACCTGTAGAAATCAAATAGACACCATAAATTTTCAAAGTTATACTTATTTAACAAACTATACCAAACAAACCCAGTATATCCACCTATAGGTGGGGCCTGGAGAGGGTAAGATGTACGCAGACCTGACATCTACCTCAAATTAGTAGAGCGGTTGTTTCCATGAAGACCCCTGGCTTAAATTTTGAAAAGCAGATATAAGTAAGCAAGAGCAATACAAATATAGGCAAGTATTGAAAAGAAGTTTTTGGTACCTTTTGTAAGATGCGAGCCATTCGTTCTAAGCCCATGCCCGTATCTATATTCTTCTGTTTCAGTGGTTCTAAAGAACCGTCGTCTTTTTTATTGAATTGCATGAAGACAAGATTGTAGAACTCTATAAACCTCGTATCATCATTCAGATCCTATGTATAAACATTAATCCAACGAAGTCAACAGTTAGAAACAGCGTGAAAAAGTCAACAAAACACACAAGATAAAACTTACGGCATCCGAATGTCCCCTATTGGGATGGAAATCATAGTAGATCTCTGAGCACGGACCACAAGGACCCGTCAAGCCACTTGTCCAAAAGTTGTCTTCTTCACCCATCTTCTTTATACGATTAGCAGGAACACCTATCTGAAGCGAAAGTGACAATAGTAACACATCCATATATTGACAAACGAACATATACTCCCTTTGTCCCATGAAAATTGCAACAAACATTTCCATATTAGGCAATTTTTTAAAGTAGAATTATAGGATTGACCGTTGTCATTGTGAGATTATGTGAAACCCCATTAGATTACTCTCCAAAAGAGCCATTGAAGAGAGAAGGAAAGTTCCAACATATATTTAGGAGAAATGGTCCAAGTCTAGCTGATATGGACTCCAACAGTCATTATTGCTAATTATTGGTGCATCTTATGGTGGTGCAAAAATATCCTTTATTTTTACTGTTATAAGAGGTCATTTAAGTCATCATATAAAAATGTTTAAGTCCAATGTTGTAATTTTCATGGGATGGAAGGAATTCATCCTATTTTAGTAAAAAAAAGAAAGAAAGAAAGAAGACGTTTCACCTCATCATGCCATATCGCGTATGTTTCCTCATCATGTTCATAGACGCTAATCCATAAGTTCTCTGCAGTCAATCCATATCTGAAAGAAAGGCACAAATAAACAAGATTTAGGAGAATTTTAAGAAAAAATCCACCAAACCAGGCAGGTCAAAAGTTAATCCAAAATGCATCTACTTGAAGCAATCGATATAAGTTTTTCGAAGTTTTACAAGGGCTCGACAAGTCTAGGATGCTTTTCATTCTCAAATGGGTTAGGGAGTTAATTTTGGCACTTTAGTTATAACTATTGCCAACCCATGAGCACCAAAATGCCTCATCTAGCAGGGTTGAAGAGTGAAGACATGTATGCAATCTTTCCTCTGAATTTAGCAAAGAAACTGTTTCTGCATTCAAGCGCGTGATTTTTGGTCCAAACAATAGTAAAGATAAACCAAATCAAATGAACTCGGCATATCCCACTCGAAAGTAGGGTCTAGGGGGTTTGATGTATATAGGACCTATCCTCTATCCCAAAGAATAGAGTGGTGTTTCCGTGAAAACCCCAGCTTGTGCAAAAGTGAGTGAAAAGAAAAGTAGAACAAAGACTAGTAAAAAGTAAGCAACAGAAAAAGAAAAAAAATCAAAGAGGAAATGAGAAAAAATAATCCATACGTACTCTATCGTCGAGAGTTCCCAGGCCCACTTTATTGCTTCTTTCTTGAAGTAATCACCAAAACTAAAATTCCCGAGCATCTCAAAGAATGTATGGTGTCGAGATGTTCTGCCAACATTCTCAATATCGTTGGTACGGATACACTTTTGAGAAGTAGTAGCACATGGTACTTGTCTTGGCACCTGAATACGATTTTCTGGCTATGTTAAAGGTGGACCAAAACTAAAACTATAACACGAATAGTGAAAACATGCTTAATGGTTCTCTATCGTGGCGTAAGTCGATTAAGATAACCATTGTTTTCCCTTTAAATTTCACCTCTCACAAGCCACGGATCTTCACAAATATAACCACTCTACAATTTTTTAGGGTAGAGGTCAGGTCTGCATACATCTCACCCCCTTCCAGACCCACCTTCTGGTGGGATATATTGGACTTGTTTGGTTTGGTTTACAAGTTCATAAATTTTGGGTTGGTGAAAAAGAAAATGTCTAACGATATTTAAGTACCTTTCCAAGAAAAACGGGCTTAAACTGAAGCATGCCAGCAATAGTCAGTAAAACAGTAGGATCGTCGGGGACAAGAGAAGAGCTTGGAAGAATCTTGTGACCTCTTGCAGCGTAGAATTCAAGAAATCGCCTACGGATGGAATTCCCACTCATGGGAAGATCTTGAGATGTCTCCTCGACAAGATCCTCAGTGAGAGGCTGTACCGAAGCTGAACAAGAGATTTATATAATCTTAGTTGGTGTTTTAATATGTCGAAATTTAGTATCTAACGGCTCCAAGAAACACGGAACAAGCATTAAACCTGATGCATTTCTGATGAAGTGTAAGTCACGCCTCTTGATTCTGGAGTTTCTAGAGGGCAAGCGAGTAGGATAGATTAGTGATAAACTTTGTACAATAAAGTCTCGGTAATTCCTGAAACCTGCATGCAAATTCTGTATTGTAAGCATATTTAGGGTCTGTTTGTTAGCAGCTTAATGAGATTAATGGGACAAACAACTTATTCAGTCAGCTATACATGACTGTTTGGTAGTAGCTTAAGGATATATAAAGTGGCTTATTCAAAGAGCTTCTACAGGGAGCTTTATGCAGAAAGCCAAGATTTTTCTAAACCTACCCTCCCGATTAAAAAACACTATGCTTCCATCTATGAAAAAATTGTCCCAAACAAAAACCTTCACAATCTATCCAGACAGATTAATCTACACAGACAGCTCTATCCATACAGGACTTGATGGAAAACCAACCAAACAGCCCCTTAGTCAGGAATTTTAGAGTTGGTTTCCTTAGGGTTGTTATTGTTAAGTGCATTCCATGCTTGTGTTTGATAGCTTGTGTTCTTGAATTTTGTTGCTTACTTCCAACTCGTTTTGTAAATTTTAAAATTTTCCCCGAGCGGGGGGGGGGGGGGGGTTGTCTTCACATTTGCGTGCATCTTACCCTCCCCAGACCTGACCTCCGGGGGGGAATATACCGTGCTTGTTTGGTTTGTTAAGCCGAAGACAAGCATGAAGACACTTTAATAAATCCTAAATTACGAAGTCATACTCCTTTGACAAAGATGTCCCATTTTTTAAAACTAATTTCCAACTACAAGTTTGGAGTATGAATTTTATTCAAATTTCAATAAAATTGCAAATAATTAAAAGAATGGAAGAACCAATGTGCCACAATAACGATAGGGATGCAAATGACTTGGTAAGGTCATCTTCCTTAAATGTATCTAGGATAACCGTGGGTGACCTAGTCAGCTTGGGCGCACCTCAACTAATCCCACAGCCCCTGAAGTTAACAGGCAAACAAACTGGTGACCATTGAGGAGCAAACTCAAGGTCATACCAGTTGAACTACCCATAATGTCTTAAATGCATCTATGCAACTACATAATTCCCAAAATATAATAAAATCCTAGCAATTCTCTTAGGCATAGGAATCTGATAAACCACATAAACACGATGTATAATTTTTCTCGTTTCCTATAATTGCTATCGGGTAATTCTTGATCATTCCTACTTCAAAACCCTTGAGAAATTAACTTCTTATTTTAACCTACTCCAACTATATCAGGATAAAAGATTTATTTTATTATTGTTGTATGAACATATTCTGATCCCCATGCTCCATGGGAGGTGATATAATTTGACTTTCTAGGGTCAAACCTAGTTCTTTAGGTTTTAGAACTAACATGGATTTTGCTACGAATTCAATCAATATATATATGTATTGATGGATTTGTAGTTTGGGGTACAAAATTAAATGTAGCTACCAAAATTTCTTCACAACTTAGAACATTCATATCAATTTTGAACTTGCAAATCAGTTCGCCTCAACTTAAAACTCAAACTGTATTGAAATTTGGGGAGTCAAAGAATCGTGTAGCCTACTGCAATAAAAAGGTAAGCAAATTCACAAAAGCTGAAACATGATGCTTAAAATTGAACTCGAAATCTCAGTATAGCTCAACTAATTATCAGAAATGAACCAAATTTTAAACATGGAAAGTAAAATAGTTAAGGAAACTGATTAATAATTCAAATATTAACTGATTGAACATTTGTGGAATAGAGAGTTGAAGAAAATTACCAGGAGAAATTGGAAGATGGCATTTGGGACGATATCTTGAAGTTGCAGTTGATGATGGAAATGGAGAAAACGAATATGGAAGATTGGAGGCATCCATGGCTACTCTCTCTCTCTCTCTCTCTCTCTCTCTCTCCCCCTGTGAGTGAAAGAGTGGAGCGACGAAAATGAATAGATAAAGCAAAGCAATCCACACGATTTGGGTGCCAAAAAAATTTATATTTGTATTTGAATATTGTTAATTCGGGTCCAAATTGGTTCCGGATCGAAATAGAGACAATTCGGACCGGTCCGGGTAAAAAAGAGAAAGACCCAAATTGATCTCACTTATTCATTTTAATTGATTTTTATCATATAAAAAATAATTTTTTGAAGAATTTGGTGAATCAAATATAGTAGCAAATACGTTTTTATTATGATTGGATCAATCAAATACGTTAAGGGGGTGTTTGGGATTACTTATAAAAGCTGTTTTTTAACTTATTTCAGTCTGACACCGGTGATAAGCTGTTTTCTGGTGTTTGGATAAGAAAAAAAAACTGCTTATACCGGTGCCAAACCGGTAATAAGCTATTTTTGATAAGTAATCCTTCCTGACTTATGAAAAACTGCTTATTATCAGTTTACAATTTTAACCCTGTTTTATTTAACTCCGATTTGATACCATATAAGTTAATAAACACTTTTACAAAAAATATAAGTTGTTTTAAATAAGCAATCCCAAATACCCCCTAAAAAAATAGGTTTTTGTTATAAATAATTTGGTCGATCAAATATACTTTAAAATATTTAACTTAGTCAACCGAATACACTAAAAAGTACGTTTTTATCATAATACACTTAAATCTTTAATCAAATATTTATACTATACTATAAAGCATTTGACAAAACTCTTAAAAATCATTTTTATGCATTAAGTACTGTTTATTGATTTATATTATTTAAAATTCAAGATTACAAGTAAATTGTCCTGTAACTAATTACAGATAAACATAATCAAATTCTGAATAAATATCTAATTTTAAATATAAAAAATCTAAAATATA